AGAAATAATATTATTCTTACGTTTAAAAAAAGTATTATGTTGAATCGGAAAAAGGGTCGAAAGTAACCATATTTAAAGTTATCTTGGTTAAACTCAAACTAGGGCGTTTGTTTTAGAAACGACTGTAATAATAACTTTCAACACGAAATTCAAAAAAGCACCCTAAGTACTTAAGTAAACAATCCACGGAGTTTATTTTAGTGCAAGCCGACGCAGAAGATTCTTTTTTTTATTTCTCTACAGAACGGACAAAAAAACTTTATTTAGGCTTACGTACTATAGTTACGTTGTACAAATTTGTGTCACAAATGAACGCCCTCTTGTGATTAAAGAAATAATATTATTCTTACGTTTAAAAAAAGTATTATGTTGAATCGGAAAAAGGGTCGAAAGTAACCATATTTAAATATTACGTCATCAATCGTCATTAAAATCAAATTTAAGAAAAGAAAGTGGGATGTATAAGTAATAAATGAACATCGCTTGCTTGTTTTTATACAGATTCACAAGACGAAATTATAGCTCGAGTGATAAAGTTTTTAGATCCATTTATTCCATTTATGCAAGAAGTTTAACAAACAAACAAGGAAAAAGCTTTTTTCAATAGAGTGAATCCATCGAATGCAGTAGCAATACCCGGTATACGCTGCTTTATAAATTGAAATCGTGCATACGCAGCATCTTTGTGTTACAGAACTCTGCCAAAGAAATCTTGCTTACCCGGCTCTTGGATTTCCTTTTTTTTTTTTTTTTTTTTGAATAAAATCTTTTCGTGCGGAATTTATACCCTTTTAAATTTTAACTTCATAAATTTATATAAGTGTCATGTATAAAACCTTGCGAAAATTTCCTTTTAAATCCCTTAATTCTGTAAACACTACCAACCCCTCAAGGAAATTTTCAATATACACCGAACTTTTTCCTTCATTATTATTGCGACGTCAAAAGTGTATTTTCACGAAGAAATTCGATCATCATGAAAATCTGATTTACCCAATAGGACATTCTTTTTCGTTGTCGTCGAATCGGCGGTTCGACCGGCCATACGGTACGACAATCCAAAAACTCCCAAATGAGGATGGCATAGAACATTTGATGAATAGTGAAACATGCAAGATCGATGAGAATTCATCATTAGTCAACGGACGGTCCTTAAGTGGTGATCAAAAGATATCGGTGCATGAGACAAAGATGATTGACTTTAATGCAGACTCAAACACCAGGGAGAAAAACCTTGGCGATGACACAAGCAATGACATTTCGACATCATCATCCGAGGAGGAACCTCCAAAGCCCCTATTGATTGAGACCGAGAGAAGAGATTCGGAAGAAGTATGGCTATCTTACAAATCTCTGGTCATTACCGACCAACTAGATAAATTGGATATCAGGGATTTCAACAGAGTACTCGGCCTGTTTAAAAAAAACATCTCATCACATCCAAAAGCACAGAGAAGAATGCTGACAATATTGGAAGATATGCAAAGCAAAACAAAACTAGAACCTGACGAGTCCACATACAATATTATGATGTCAATGTGCCTGGAGAGGAAAGATTTCGAGGGAATCAAGAATTATTTTAGGTCGATGCAACAACAAAGCATTAGTCCGAACACCGTCACCTACAACATAATAATGGCCGCAGCTATCAAATTAGACAAACCAGCCGACGCTTTCGCCCTTTATGATGAGATGGTGAAGAAAGGTGTTGAGAGAAATCAGAAAACTTTCACAATGTTACTTCAAGCCTGTGCAAAGAAGCGAAGCATAAAACAGGCGGATTTCTTTTATGAAGCTATGCTTAGAGAAGGGATTGCACCTGATGTATTTATATACAACGCTCGAATTAATGTGATCGCAAGAAATGCTCGCGATATGAAAGAGTTAAAGCCGGCATTTAAAATTGTCGAGGAAATGAGGCAGAATGGTATTAAACCGACAACCTTGACCTACCACATTCTCATTAAATCGCTGATTGAAATAAATGAACGTACAGAAGCACTGCAGCTTTTTAATCAGATGGAACACGATGGATGCCTACCTGATGCGCTAATTCTAGAGGGAATCGGAATAACCGGACTGCGAGCACTGATAAATATGAGAGATACGTATGGTGTAACACCAACAGCGGAAGATTATAACAAATTCATGAATCAGGCTCTCAAGGAATCGAAATTTAATGATGCCACCGAAATCTTGAGGCTCATGTTACAATATGGATTTAAACCTTCGGTTTCTACTTATTCAATAATCATAAATGCCCACATTAGGAATAAGGATGTTCAAAAAGCTATGCAATTATATAAAGCGATGAAAAAGGATGATATTCGAGCAGATTCGCATATATTTTCATCTCTAATCGTTGGTCTCATAGCGCAAGGTGAGATTGATCGAGCATTCGAATTATTTGAAGAGATGCTGAATTCGAATGTTAAACCAAACTTTCGTACCATTAACCGGATCATCGATACCGCTAGCCAATCGGATGACGTATCTATAGTTCGAGTGGTTTTTGGTAGATTACAGAATTTAACGACTCCAGGAAAATCGGCCTTTGAAAGGGTTCTCTGGCGAATAGCTCAAGTAGGTGATCGAACAGCGGTGGAAGAATATTTATCCTTGATGGCAAGACGAAATCACGATATTAACGATGTCACATTTAGATCAATCATAACTGGTTCTTGTAAGGGGAAGCATTTACGTGAGGCGAGATATTGGTATAAAAGGATGATTGATCTAGATTTAAGACCTAATCACATGCTTCTCTCTTCGCTTTTGAAATGTCATGCTGAATCTAGAAACGTGGAGGTGACGTACGCGTTATGGGACGATTTTCATTATTTCGGAATACTGCCTGACGACGAGGACATTATGTTTATACTGCTGACTTGCAGGGAAACAAAATCTTGGCATATAGAAAACAGGGTACTCGAACAACTGAAAGAATTAGGTTACAATATGCATACATACAAGTCGGAGATAGAAGCCGTAAAGACCAATCAATCACAAGAGAACGTTCTAAATAGCACTCGCATTGCAATAGAAACATGGATTAAAACGCGCAAGCCATCCGACTCCGTTCAAAAAAGCATGCAGGAAATTAAGAGAGCCCAAGAGAAGCTACAAAAATGGGTAAATTCTGTTGGTACTAAGAATGAATTAAGACTCGATGAAAGTGCAAAAAATAGAGTAGCTCACTGGTTGCCATATAGGGAAATAGTAGCAATTAGAAATGAAAAAAAAAAACAAAATTAAATAATCAAGAAATTAATTTTTCAAGGAATTGAAGTAGAAAATAAATAAGTAAATAGAAACTGATAATAATATTTAATTTTAAATATTTAGAAAAAGTAATTTTTTTTAATTGAATCAATTCAATTTTAATTTTTATAATATTAATTTCAAAAACAATTATTGTTAAATTATTCTTATTTTTAACTTGCTATTAGGTTAATATAGCTTGTTTTTTTTTTAACTCTCTGTTAAATTAGTTATATATACTTTATAAGTTAAAACTTTTTAACTACTTATTTATCTTAGTTTAATTAATTTTAAGTATAACTTTGAGAGTGATTTATTGTTTTATTAAAAATTCATGTAAAATTTTTTTCAACTTCTAATATAGACCATTATTATAAATTATTTTATTAGTTCTGGTAAAGTTCAAAATCCAAATTCAAAAAAAAAAAAAACTCTTTCCGCTGATCCTCTTTTTCCTAAAAATTTCCTTATTTAGTAATTTTTTGAAAAAGAGAAGTCAGCCTCAAAAGCACTTTATCCTTTAAAGATTTAGGACTTAACAACAAACTACAATAATCAACCACCTTCCCAAAGCTCACCTTATCGATTAAGAAAAGTATAGGCAACACAACATCATACTAGCTTTACTTTGCAAGGGAAAGGGAAAAACAATCACAAACTGATTCACAGTAAGCTTAGGAGAGTCCAATATCAACTCCCCAAGCTTCTAGTCAGGCCAGTGTCGGTTTACACCTTTCTAGGCACTAGAAGGAACTCTGTAAACAGTAATTCTTACCGATAAATCAGGAAAACTCAAAGCTTACAAAGCCTAGAAAGATATCAAAGGTTCCCAAGGACTAAACAGTAAAGTATCCTGATTCCATACACACTTGTCTAAATATCAAAACAAGTTACGCAAACACGTACACAACAAATAGTTTAGTACCAAATAATATAGCAAGGTTTATCAAGTGTCTACATACAAACAACCCATCCTTCACAACAACGGAGATCAACAATAAATCTGGTAAATAAGCAGGACCAAACAGGAAAGATCAATGACTTACTCGAGTAAACAAGATATCAAAACAAGATAACAACATTCAACCCTGCATACCTTGCTAAAATAAACAAACAAACAAACCAAAAAAAAGTAAACAAGATAACAAATCAATAGTTTATCCTCCTATACACATGACCAATATGACAAAGGAATGTAAAATTATGCAAATTGCTAAGAAGAGAGAACTTCACATCCTTGATACAATAGTCAAAATAGCTAAAAAGCATGACCAAAGGAAAGAAACATGGGCTACCCAGATCATCTTCAATACTCTCATCACACAAAACAAGCCCAATCAAACATCAGGACCTACAGAATACTCAATACTTGATAATATTCTTGCAAAAATCTTAAATGTAGTCCAACTACATTCATCAAAGCTGAAATTCTCAAAACACATATTCTATACTTATGGAAACAAGGTCAAGAAAAAGAAGAAGATCTTATAGCACCTTTCTTGAAAGAAAAAGTCAAATGTATCTTGAAACAAGATACTTCCATAAATGGTTTTCCTCTGCATACTCAGGAAACCTTTCAGACCAAGGAGGAATTTAGTAACTCCATAATAAAAAATTCAACTTCAGATAGGAATACCCCATCAAATGAGGATATGGAAGTTCAACCAATAATCAAGATTGAAATTCCAAATAACATTGAAGTTGAAATAGGTGATAAAGAATTGGAGGAAGAGCTGGAAAAAGAAATAGAAATGGTAAATATCCAGGAAAAAGTTGAAGGAGGAAATATAGCAGAACAAACCTCCTATAATACATGAAACAGGTCCAAGCCATCCAGCCTTAACCCATTTCATATCACCAAAAAGGAAGAATTCAAGATCAGAATTCTCACCTCCAGGATATTGGGAGATACAGAAAAAGAATGGTTAGCCTATCTCCAAGGTGTCTTGAGTCTACCCAAAGATATGCTACCTTTTAAAAAAGACTTTCTCAATGGTAATGCTTGGATAACATTTACCTTTGAAGAAGTAGAAGATGCCTTACAGTGTATAGAGAAGGTCAACAAGAAAGAAGGGGAAAACTTTA